AAAAAGGGAATGACCATGGTGGGACAAAGGACTCTTGTCTGCTGGAGCTTTTTTTGGGCTATATGGCCATGTTTTAGAAGCATTCTCTCCTGACGTTTCGCCTGCATCTATGGCAAGACATCCTCACAAGTTGTAAGGTCACAACCTCTGAGACCTCACAACCTCTGAGGATGCTTGCCATAGATGCAGGCGAAACGTCAGGAGAGAATGCCTCTAGACCATGGCCATACAGCCCGAAAAAATCTACTTTCAGTGTTTGCATTGTCCTTTTATTCTCACGCTTGTATTCTTTGCCCAGAAATGTACTTTGTTTGGACTACAAATCCCAGAATACACAAGTGGAACTTCGAGGTTGGCTGGGAGAAATACAAGCCATCTTCCAAAGAGAAGATACTTTCTAGTTTGGTGTTTTCTCATGTTTTAGGGGGAAAACATCATCCTGCTCTGGCCTTTTAATATACATACATACATACATATACCCTGGAGAGCGGAGAATTTAGCATTGCAAAATGTCCCAGCTGTCGGAAAAATTGTGCAAAAAGGCATTAAGGCAAGGATGTTTCGGAAAGCCGAGCCAAGTGCTGAGAGCCCTTAAACTTTGCTTTGTTCCTTTTCCCAGAGGAAGGTGAAGAGGTAACTTGAACGCGGTTCATGTTAGAAGCAAAGCACGTCGCGGAAAAATTAACAATGCTGTGATTAATGTGTGGAAAGAGGTGCCAAATAAAGGGGGCGGATTCCTCTTTGGAAAGGTCCTTTTTACCCTGGTGATGCAAAACGGATGTGTTTTAATAGGCTCCGACTTAATAATGTGCGGAAAGCCCCTGGCCAGTGATTTCCACACTTGTATAGAATCATCTGCACTGTCAAATGAATGGCGTTTGACATTGCTGTATCTGCAAGTTATAGTTTTGCAATGTCTTTAGCTCATCAAACTATGAGGGTTGAATGAAAAGTAATGTCTCCACTGTCGTTACTTGGGTGTGGATGGAATCATAGAATCCTAGAATCAAAGAATTGGAACAGACCTCCTGGGCCATCCAGTCCAACCCCACTCTGCCAAGAAGCAGAAATATTGCATTCAAATCACCCTTGACAGATGGCCAGCCAGCCTCTGCTTAAAAGCTTCCCAAGAAGGAGCCTCCACCACACTCCGGGGCAGAGAGTTCCACTGCTGAACGGCTTTCACAATCAGGAAGTTCTTCCTCATGTTCAGATGGAATCTCCTCTCTTGGAGTTTGAAGCCATTGTTCCTTGTCCTAATTTCCATGGAAGCAGTAAACAAGCTTGCTCCCTCCTCCTCCCTGTGGCTTCCTCTGACATATTTATACATGGCTATCATATCTCCTCTCAGCCTTCTCTTCTTCAGGGGAAACATGCCCAGGTCCTTAAGCTGCTTCCCTAGATCTAGACACTATGCTTCTATTGATGCAGGCCAAAATCCCATTGGCTTTTTTTGCTGCCACATCACATTGTTGGCTCATGCAACTCCTGGAACGATTCCATCAGCGCTGCCTCCAGAAAATCCTGCAAATCTCTTGGGAAGACAGGCGGACAAACGTCAGCGTGCTGGAAGAAGCAAAGACCACCAGCATTGAAGCGATGTTCCTCCGCCATCAACTCCGCTGGACCGGCCAAGTTGTCCGGATGCCCGACCACCGTCTCCCAAAGCAGTTGCTCTACTCCGAACTTAAGAACGGAAAATGGAATGTTGGTGGACAGGAAAAGAGATTTAAAGATGGGCTCAAAGCCAACCTTAAAAACTCTGGCATAGACACTGAGAACTGGGAATCCTGGCCCTTGACTGCTCCAGCTGGAGGTCAGCTGTGACCAGCAGTGCTGCAGAATTTGAAGAGGCACGAATGGAGGGAAACCTCTCTCTTTTGCAAGGCGCATCAAGCCAACCCCAAGTGAGACCACCTTCCACCTGGAAACCAATGCCCTCACTGCGGAAGAACATGCAGGTCAAGAATAGGGCTCCACAGTCACCTACAGACCCACCAGTACATATTCCAGGTGTGGTCTAACCAAGGTAGAATACAGGGGTAGCATGACTTCCCTAGATCTAGGCACTATGCTCCTACTGATGCAGGCCAAAATCCCATTGGCTTTTTTTTTTTGCCACCGCATCACATTGTTGTCTCATGTTTAACTTGTTGTCCATGAGGACTCCAAGATCTTTTCACACGTACTGCTCTCAAGCCAGGCATGCCCCATTCTGTATCTTTGCATTTCGTTTTTCCTGCCAAAGTGGAGTATCTTGCATTTGTCACTGTTGAACTTCATTTTGTTAGTTTTGGCCCATCTCTCTAATCTGTCAAGATCGTTTTGAATCCTGCTCCTGTCCTCTGGAGTCTTGGCTCTCCCTCCCAATTTGGTGTTGTCTGCAAACTTGATGATCCTGCCTTCTAGCCCTTCATCTAAGTCATTAATAAAGATGTTGAACAGGACCGGGCCCAGGACGGAACCCTGCGGCACTCCACTCGTCACTTCTTTCCAGGATGAAGAGGAAGCATTGGTGAGCACCCTCTGGGTTCGTCCATTTAACCAATTACTGATCCACCTCACCTGTAGTTTTGCCTTGCCCACATTGGACTAGTTTGTTTGCCAGAAGGTCTTGAGGGACCTTGTCGAAGGCCTTACTGAAATCCAGGTACGCTACATCCACGGCATTCCCCGCATCTACCCAGCTTGTAACTCTATCGAAAAAAGAGATCAGATTAGTCTGGCATGACTTGTTTCTGATAAATCCATTTGTTTCTAAGTGTTTGCAGACCACTTCCTTAACAATCTTTTCCAGAATCTTGCCTGGTATTGACGTGAGGCTGACTGGACAGTAGTTGTTTGGGGTCATCCTTTTTTCCCTTCTTAAAGATTGGGACCACATTGGCCCTCCTCCAATCTGCTGGAACTTCTCCTGTTCTCCAAGAACTCTCAAAGATGGTTGCCAATGGTTCCGAAATGACTTCCGCTAGTTCCTTCAATACTCTTGGGTGGAGTTGATCTGGCCCTGAAAGGGGACTTGAACTCATTTAGAGCGGCCAGGTATTCCTGGACGACTTGTTTCCCAATTTGGGGTTGGATGTCCTCTAATCCCTCATCCACTCCATCTTGCTGAGGTTGAGATGACTTTCTTTTTGTGAGAAGACCGAGGCAAAGAAGGTATTCAGTAATTCTGCCTTTTCCCTACCCCCTGTCAGCATTGCCCCATCTTCTCCTCGAAGAGGCCCAATCGCCTCCTTGTTTTTCCTTTTTCTACCGACATACGAAAAGAATCCCTTTTTATTGTTTTTAATGTCACTGGCAAGCCTGAGCTCGTTTTGTGCTTTAGCCTTGCGGACCTTTTCCCTACAGGTGTTGGCTATTTGTTTGAATTCTTCTTTGGTGATTTCTCCCTTTTTCCAGTTCTTGTGCATGTCTCTTTTGTGTCTCAGCACAGTTAGAAGTTCTTTGGACATCCATTCTGGCTTCTTTGCACTTGTCCTATTTTTTTCTTTTTGTTGGCACAGTTTGCAACTGCACCTTGAGTATTTCACTCTTGAGAAACTCCCATCTTGACATTCCACTCCTGTTGATGCAGCTTAGAATTGCATTGGTTTTTTAGCTGCTGCATCACACTTCTGGCTCATGTTCATCTTCTTAGACTTGCAACATAGGAAGTGATGCTCAGCCAGGTCTTGAGAACAGACTGGGAAGCCCTTGAAAACCACCCCCCTTCCCTGAAAGCACTTTTGATGCCAAGTTGCCTTGTTCGAATTGGCTCTGAATGTGATCCCTTGCAAAAGCAGATGGTCTCCCTCCAGGATGCATTGGTTGGTCCAAAGCAAGCATCGCCTTCCTAACAGACACGGGGGCCATGCCACAACTCTGCAGGCGGAGGAGACAGGAACAGATGGAGGAGCGTAATCCTCCCCTTGTGTTTCTTTGCATACAAATGAAATATTTGTAATATTAAATTTAATACTAAATACTCAGGCATTTCCTTTGTACAAAATTAAATGTGATACATGGGCACGAAACACCATTGATTCCGAAAACAAACACAATCTGCAAATAAAACTAACACCAACACAAAGCATTAACACTATGCAAAGGATAGATATTAATCTGCTCTCCAGAGTTTTGCAAGGCTGGAATTTAAATTCATTAATTTTTCAATCTGTGAACGTTTTTGCGTCCTAGCGCAGTGTTTCTCAACCTTCCTCATGCCACGACCCCCTTAATGCAATTCCTCATGTTGTTTTGTTACTACTTCCGTAACTGTATTTTTGCTCCTGTTATGAATCGTCATGTAAACATCCGATATGCAGGATGTATTTTCATTCACTGGACCAAATTTGGCACAAATACCCAACATGCTCAGATTTGAATACTGGTGGAATTGAGAGGTTTTATTTGGTCATTTGGGAGTTGTAGTTGCTGGGATTTATAGTTCACCTACAATCTAAGAGCATTCTGAACTCCACCAACGATGGAATTGAACCAAACTTGGCACACAGAACACCCATGACCAACAGAAAATACTGGAAGGGTTTGGTGGGCATTGACCTTGAGTTTGGGAGTTGTAGTTCACCTACATCCAGAGAGCACTGTGGACTCAAACAATGATGAATCTGGATCTAGAAGGTCAAAGTATTAACCAGCCTCGAGCCGTGAAGAGAGGTGGGTAAGAAATAAAATGATGATGAGGATGATGGTGATGTTGCTGATGATGATTCTTAACTGCCATGGTTCAGTGTGATGGGAGTTGTAGTTTGGTGAGGCCCCATTGTTCTAAAGAACTACAACTCCCAGCTCTACTTGTCATTCACAGAGTAAATGAAATGATACATGTTTCAGATGATGCTGATAGTGATATCTTTGTTCCCCTTGTGATCAAAAGATGTTTACAACTCCCAATCTCTCCTTCCAACTTGGTCTTGGCACTGGAGGTTGGCTTTGCTTGGCATTCTTTTTCCATATGTTGGAATCATCTTTCTCAAAGTATCTGCTTCTCTTGGCAGCTCTGCTTTTGGAGACGTGGGACCTGCTCTGCGACCACAACAACGAGGACCACCGGACCGCCGACGCCGGTTTCCAACGGCTGCTTGTGCGCCGGGGACAGTATTTCCTCGTGAAACTGAACTTCTCCGGGAGGCCCTTCGACGAAGCGGTAGACACCCTCACCTTCCACGTCGAGACAGGTGACGTGTCAGAGCTTTGGCGTCAGAGCTTACGTGTGTTAGATAAAAATGCCTCAGCATTGAATCTATTTTGCCTGAGCGATCAATGAAAAAAATGTTTCAATACTCATTACAAAATTAGGTGGTGGTGGGGAGGGAGAGAATCATTTCTCGTGTGTTGTTGTAGGTTTTTTCGGGCTATATGGCCATGGTCTAGAGGCATTCTCTCCTGACGTTTCGCCTGCATCTATGGCAAGCATCCTCAGAGGTAGTGAGGTCTGTTGGAACTAGGAAAAAGGGGTTTATATATCTGTGGAATGACCAGGGTGAGACAAAGGACTCTTGTATGCTGGAGCTAGGGGTGAATGTTTCAACTGACCACTCTGATTAGCATTTGATGGCCTGACAGTGCCTGGAGCAATCTTTTGTTGAGAGGTGATTAGATGTCCTTGTTTGTTTCCTCTCTGTTGTTGTGCTGTTGTAATTTTAGAGTTTTTTAATACTGGTAGCCAGATTTTGTTCATTTTCATGGTTTCCTCCTTTCTGTTGAAATTGTCCACATGCTTCTTGTGTATTTCAACAGCTTCTCCTACCGGCTGTTAGGAATGGTGGGAGTTGAAGTCCAAAACACCTGGAGGGCCCAAGTTGCCACCTTGTGCTGCCACGCGCTGGGCTTGTAATAATTGATTTTTTAAACAGGACGTTCTCTTTGTGCCCAGCGGGAAGCCGGGGTGCCATGGGTGAGAGGCCTTCAAGGATTTTCCCATACACTTATAGGCTTGAAATGTTTAACAAAATTCTTTATTATTGCTTAGGTCTTCAATAAAGCAACAAACACTTTTTGGATCTTCAACAGATTAAACAAATGCTTCTTAACGTATTGTCGAAGGCTTTCATGGCTGGAATCACTGGGTTGTTGTAGGTTTTTTCGGGCTATATGGCCATGGTCTACAGGCATTCTCTCCTGACGTTTCAATGGTCAGGCAATTGTATGTTGGTCAGGGTGGTCGGTTGAGGCATTCGCGCCTAGCTCCAGCAGACGGGGGTCCTTTGTCTCGCCCTGGTCGATCCACAGATATATAAACCCACTTTCCTAGTTCCAACAGACCTCACTACCTCTGAGGATGCTTGCCATAGATGCAGGCGAAACGTCAGGAGAGAATGCCTCTAGACCATGGCCATATAGCCCGAAAAAAACCCTACAACAACCCAAATGCTTCTTAACTTGCCCCACAAT